CTCTCAAAATACATACAGAATCTGACCACTTCTCACCACCTCCAGTGCTGCCACCCTGGTCTAAGCACCCATCATCTGTTGCCTGGATCACTACAAATGCCTGCCAACTGGTCTCACTCCTACTCTTGCCCTGTTTATCCTATTCTCAACACACTTGCTCTCCTATCTCCAAACAAAGCCAAAGTCCTTACAATGGCCCACAGAGCCCTTCAAGATCTCCATCATCCACACTAACTCTCTGATCTCATCTTCTTCCACTTTCCCCTTATTTGTTCCGCTGCAGCCAGACTGGCCTGCCATTCTTCAATTGAGTGAAGCATGCTTCCACTATGGAGCCTTTGTGCTTGTTCCTCTGCCTGGATAGACACCCTGGGTAGATACCCCCAGGTATCCACAGAGCTTGCTCTCTCACCTCCAGACCTTTTCCATAGCACTTTTCTATTTCTAACATGTAATTAATTTTGTTCATTGGGGGTGTCTTCCAACACTACAGATTAAACTCCATGGGAGGAGTATCCCAGAGTATTTACTGCTACTTAGATAAACAGTAACTGAGTATATTCTCTGTACTTGTAGAGAAGGTACAAATGCCCGAAACTAATACTGCCCTTGTTGCTTTTCTTGGCTTTCATTTGGGATGATTTTGGAAAACTTGGACGTCCTTTGTAACCCTCCTTTATTTACAGAGGCCCTACTTTAAAGTTTTGGGGATTTTTTTTTGTTAGAATTGGGGAGGGGCAGAGAGAGCGGGGGGGGGGCGGGGGGAAGAGAGGGAGAATCCCAAACAGGCTCCCTGCTGTCACCATGGAACCCCAACTGGGGCTCAATCTCACGAACCATGAAATCATGACCCGAGCAGAAATCAAGAGTCAGATGCTTTAGTGACTGAGCCACCCAGGTGCCCCCAGAGGCCCTACTTTAGAAATAAGGTAGCCCTAGACACTACCAGCTGGCCCAAGCACATAAATTGGTGTCCCACAGTAGAGTGGAGCTGGAACACTCCACTCTATTTTTTTAAGATAAAAATCCCCAGTGAGTCCCCATTGTCTCTTAAGGGTAGATGGTCCTTGAGTTTTCCTAAATTTACCGAGGGCTTCTGTTTCCCTTTAGTCTGTGTTTGCCACAACATCCCACCAGGAACGTATCTTTGCATTCCTTAAGAAGCTGCCTTTAAAGGCCATTTACTTTGATGTGAAAGTTGATATATAGAGAGATATCAAAGGATATGCAGAGGATATAAAAGGAATCCTTTAGTGACCTTGGAAGAGGGCAAAACCGGAAATGTAAAGGTAGGATCTGGGTGGCAAACAGATGGAGGTTTCAGGGATATGAGATTCAACAGAAGAGAGAGGTGCTAAAGGTCTCGGGTACTGAGAGAGGAAGGCAGATGTGAGACAGGCAATCAAACTTGGGAGTGAAATAGCAAAGGCAATAAATCAGGCCTGAGTCATGTACCTAGTTATGTTACATGTTACCTTTGGGCACATATCCTCAGCTCTTTGCTCCAACTCAGCTGCCAGAACCTATGAACTAACTCGGACATTTGATTGCACCACCTCCAGCTGTACAGTTATCTGCTGGGAGTGCCAGTCTCTCCCCGTTGCTTGCCACAGCCCAGACAACTGCACAGCTCCAGTTTCTGGTTCCTTGCACCACTTCCAGGCTTGCTGAAGTGCCACACAATGGCTTGGGATCTGGCCTCTCTAGGGGTGGCTGGATGATGCAACCTGAAAGTGTGGGGTAAACAGGAGGAATCTGATCAGTTAAATTCCTTCCGCCCGTCAACTTTTAACAGGAATTTCCTTTGGCTGTGAATATAGTGGTTAAATACATAAGGGTTTATTTTCTCTCATTCAAGATTAGGATTAGGCAGTCCAGAGCTGGTATGGAGTCTTCATAAGATCACCAAGGATCAGAAGTCTTTTGCTTTTCTCCCTTCCCATCCTTCAGGCATGGCTTATATCCTCAAAGTCACAAGATGGCTGCTGAAATTCCAGCCACTAAATCCACATTCCAGGTAGAGAAGAAGGAAGAGCAAAAGCAAAAGCTTTTTTTTTTTTTTTTAAGCTGTCCCTCCCTTTGAAGGTGTCCCCAAAAGTCCTGTCCAACAAATTCCAATTATACTAACGTATCATTTGCTTGATATTTGACACATCAATACATTACTGGCCTGACATTTGATATATCAGTATTTCATTGGTCTGACTAGCCATACCTCACTACAAGACAGGCTGAGAAATAAAGCTGAGCACTCTGCTGTGCTCAGAAGAGCCTTGGATTTCCTATTGTTAAGGACGAAAAAAAGTACAACTTAGGCAACTAACGGCTTCTGCCACAGTAAGCATTAGTTAATGCTTATTATCAACACTAGCTATTGCAAGGTTGCTTAATCATGAGGTTCTATAAAGTGGCTCAATAAGTTGATCCTAGTTTATTTGGTCAATTGCCTCTTCTGCAGACTTTGCATAGGTTTTAGACACGTGTGAAGGGAAGGAAAGGAATCCACATCTTTACAGGATACTTATGGCATGTTTAGCAGGTTGGACATGAGATCTTTGATCATCATGGGGACTGATTCTTTTGTGGCCTCTGCTATTGGGCTTCACTATTAACTCCATTTGTCCTTTCTAAGGTTCCAGGTTCCTGCCCATTAACAAGATGAAAGAAGAGAGCGTCATGCTCATTCTCTATCCTTCATCGATTGTAATGACAATATGGTACAAGAAATTAAAATAGGGGTGCCTCGCTGGCTTATTTGGTGTGACTCTTGGAGTATGTGACTCTTTTTAAGTTTATTTATTTGAGAGAGAGAGAGAGAGAGAGAGAGAGAGAGAGAGAGAGAGAGAGAGA